CAAATCAGTTTGGTTCACGATTATTAACAGATCCTTTAGTAACAAATGTGGCTATGCAGTATGGCAATGCTTTAGCTAGTACAGGAAAGCAGCAATTTGAAAAATTTGTGCCCATTACTGCTCTTAGATATTATTTTGCTGTTGATACAGATTATGTTGTGATGAAACTTTTTCTACTATTTTTTCCATTTACACATAAGGTACTAGTATTTTCTGATATGCATAGAAAATTCTTATAATAACTTGTGAATTTTCTTCATTTATTGCAATTTTATTCAAATTACTATATTTATATAGAATTAAGAAATAAACATAATATTGTAAATCTTATTACAGGATTGGTCAATTAAATATGAACAAGAACATCCTTTGCAACCACGCTTTGAAAGGAATGCACCAGACATGTACATTCCCACAATGGCATTTCTTACATATGTTGTAATGTCTGGTCTTGCACTAGGTACACAAGAAAAATTTACGCCCGAACAATTAGGTATAACAGCTAGTTCTGCATTAGCTTGGGGAATCATAGAATTATTAGTTCACATCATAACTCTTTATGTTATGAATCTTGACACAAGTTTGAGGTATTTAGATCTACTCGCTTATTGTAGTTATAAATATGTTGGAATTAACACCAGTCTGATAGCTTCAATATTTTTCAAAAGATTAGGTTATTATAGTGTATTTAGCTATTTCAGTATATCACTTGCATTTTTCTTGATACGATCACTAAAACTTAGAGTAATACCAGAAGGGCACTCATCATATTCGGCTTTAGGCAATAAAAGAAGATTATATTTTATTCTGTTTATTGCTGGAATTCAACCAATCTGTATGTGGTGGCTTTCATATCATCTGATATAAAAGTTGATGATGAAGTTTTGTTTATTATTTATAAAGTGGGCAATAAAGGGCAGATTAAAATACAAATAAAAGTTATTATGAAAATTAACTTTTCCTATACATTTTAATATAATAAGACATAATAAACCAAGATTCCTTTTCAGCAGTTATAATAGATTTGTTTTTCCATAAACTGAAATCAAGATTCAATTGTGTTAATCAATATACAAGTTTCAAATATATAACTAAAATTGAAGTTCTATAATTGAATTTTTAAATACAGATTATGTAATTTTCTATGTACTATCAAAATGTTCTAACCAAACTAAATTTTTAATTAAAATTGTAAAAATGTATATTATATATCTATTTTTAATAGTTATACTGATTAATACCTATTTTATTTAAATCAAATTTTCAAACCTTTTAAAAAAAAAAATAAAAGTTCTGTTTTTGTAATTAATGATTAAGATTAATACAAACTAATTTTAAAATGCTTAAAATTGTAATAAATACCTGTTTATAATAAATATTTTAAATCATATTCCAACATGTAAATTCTATAGAAATTAATTTTAAATTTAATACATTATAATATAAATAAAATTAAACAATTCTGAATATATATTTCATTTACATTTTTGAAATGCAAAATATAAAATATTTCAATAATATTTAAGGGAACTTTGTAATATCATCAAATACAAAATTTAATATTGAATACATTTAAAGTTTATTATTAATATTTGTATATTTAAAAATGAATTATATTATATTCCAAAAGATTAATACTGTAACAATTGATTTGTGTTAAAAATATTATATATATTATAATTGTAAAATATTTTTAACATGAGAAATTGTCAAATAAATATTACCATTTAAAATAGCTAAATTATGGCTAATGTAAAATGAAAACTTAATATATACAATTTTCAAGAATTAGATGTTGAAACAAAATTATTGATGTGGAGCAAGGTAAAGTCCAAATATTGTATATATTAAAGGAATCTGCCTTATCAACGATGATAACGTAAAGAACTACATTAGTCCGTTAAAAGTGGCTGCTAAAGACAAACACGGAGGGCCTACTAGTACCTGTCCTCTGTTTTTCAATCGTAGCCTTGGTCTTACAATTCGTTCGCAATGTTCGCATTATCCATCGGTATTCGACTCGTCGCTTCGAAGTTTCTAATTATTAATATCGTTCAGTGAGCTATTCAGTATTCGGTTGAGCTCTTATTGAAGCACGAGTTCGAAATTTTGTTTAAAAGCAGATCCGCTATTACACGTCTGTATCGGTTATATTATACGGCCACTACGAATAGGCCAACGACAGCGCGTTTGAAGTCGTGTGTGTCGACGAAAAAAATGACCGCCTAGGGTTTTTATGCTGTGCTACATATGAGTGGGAAGGCAGTTCGTTGGTCACGCGAGGAATAAAAGAGGAAGAAGACGTGGCGGCGGAGGCGAGGCCTCCGGAGGGTCGGCGACGACGGAGTGTTTGCGTGTGTGAGTACGGTACATCTAAGGGGGAGAGGAGCCGAAAAATGGCGGATCGCACGAAGACCTCGGTTCCGGCCAATCGGCCGGTCCCCATGAAGTTATTCGCTACCTGGGAAGTCGACCGTACACCCTCAAATTGCATACCGAGGTAAATAAACACTCCTCTGCCTTTCTATCTCGTCTACCCAGCTGTATTAAATAAGGTGTACACCGGGTTTCCAACGTTTTATTATTTTAATTATCGCTGTAGACTATACAACATTTACATTTAACTCTATATTTTTTTTCCACATCAACAAAATTTCTGTATACCTTCCCTTCTCGTTCATTACTGGGATTAGTAATAAATATATATTCTCGTTTGACTTTGTTATTCAACGTCACAAATTCAATGTACCATCACTACACTACTATTAATTTACTAACCCCCTATTCCCAATGTACCATTTGGAGATTTTTAAAATTGGAAGTGATAAACTCGGTCGACGAAGCTGTTGGGTGTGTTGAATGCCTGGATCAATCTATTACTCGCAGCCTACATTGAACAAGTAGAAGTGTATCCTTCAACAATACGTTTATAAAATATAACCGGCTTTGTCACAAGGACAAATCACGTTCAATCAAGAATGAGCAAAATTGAGAGTTCGACGCGATAAAAAGTAGTCATGCACTGTCAGTCGGGCGTGACGTTTTGTCAAAACTTCTATTTTTCTCGTTTTCCATTCATTCCCAGTTTTTTTCAAGTCTGAACTATGTAATTGCATAAAATTTTTTGCACTTGACTTGCTTAACTTATCTTTTGTTATAGATAATGATAAGTTGTCATTGTACTTAAGATAACTTTGGCATTACAATTATTTGATCAAGAATATGTGGAATTCATTAAATTGCTTAAATATTTCAATTGTAGGAAAGTTTCAGATTATTTAGAGTGCATAATTATTGTAAGATGCAATTAAAGTAAAAATTCGGCCGACAATATTTCTATCACTTTTCATCTCTTTTTAACTTTTTATAACATACGAATGAACGGACATTAGCTGTACATTTTTTTGAAAAAGTTAATCGACAATGTTATATGCGAATGAATTATTGACATATTCAATGTTATATTTATGAAATCATTAAACTATTTCATTTTACAAAAATAAGGTATTTAGATACTTATCAAAAAATATTTAAGGGTAATGTAAGTATCTAACTTATAAATTTGTTGCAATTTTCAACGATGTATTATAAAGTTATACCTAAGCTCAACTTGTTTATAACAATTTTACTTCTGGATACTATAAAGAAATTTATAAACTCAGTTAATGTTCTAAAGAAATGCATTACTTTTTAAGTAAAACGGACTATGGGAAAGAATAAATAGCTGTAGTTTTGGAATTAAGGCGCACTTACCATATACCGTTATACAGTCCTTTATAAATTCCTTACTAGTCCCTCGGAAGCCTCTAGTATACGACTTGTATTCGAACTGTTATAAAACTGATAATTTGTCAGTTGCGTAATCAGCTAATAATTCTACTATTTATATAGTATTAATATGCTTAATATGTACAAAGTATGTTAATATTAATACTGTGTCGAGCATGGCTGAACATTTTAATGAAAATTTTTCACAATTTTATTCTCATTATACATAAATAAAGATGTATTATTTAATAAATAGGTTAAAATCGATCATTTTTCAACGAGATACTTCAAAATAATTACAAGAAAAGGAAAAACTATTAATAGAGCTTTCTTTACATTCTTATCAAAAATAAAATCAATTACTTGAAATACTAATAAATAATCAACTCATTGAATAAATTTTTTTGTTTTTCAATACTTTATTATATTTACTACATTAGAGTCAAAACATCATAAAATCTGTATTAAAAATTCATATATTTTTTTTCTTTTATATTCAAAAGAAAACTTTTTAAATTCATTGACTTAATTTACTGTGTTTATTTGTGTATGCATGGTTTACTTTTCAAGTGTTTTAATGTATTTATTAAGATTTACTCTTTAATGCTTTAAAAATATCCTTACAATGTGATTTTTTGTATAAACATTTGAAAATTAGTTAATTAGTTAAATGTCTAAATATGATAAAATGATCTAATACAAATATTTAAATTGAAAATCATCAAAAACATTTAAAGTACCTTTATAAAGTTTATATTTAATGAAAAATATGAAAAATTGTATAATGTTTAATATAATTTTTCATGTATTTGTGTCTAAAATACACAAATTATTACATGACAATAAGATTATTTAAATTATATTGATAATTATCTCCCCCCCCCCCTCATATGTATTTATGCACATCTTATAATTGTATGATAAGATTTATACTTAAAATTATATTCATTAGATTTTTAATAAAAACTAACAAATAATACTTTCAGAATAGTAATACTTCATAGAATAGTTTTGAAATCAAGAAGATATTTTGCGAATGAAAAATTGAGAAAACGTTTCACTGATGACATTTTCTATATAGCCTTATATTTTCATTTAACTATTCGATTAAATTAGATTAAAGAAAAGTTATCGCTGTATGCTAATCATACATAAAGATAGACAATATGTAATATTTTATAGTTTTTATATTCTCTTAATATTCTTATCAAAAGTATATTTTTAATTTCATTATTTTTTTATTTTTTATTCATATTATTTTTTTAATAAACTGAATAAAATTATATATTCACTTTTTTAAATAGTTGGTAGAATCGATTATAATTAAATTAATATATAGTAATATCAAAAATAAATTAATTTTAATTCTACGAATAGCTCAGAAATATAATAATTGATCAATATTTGAATACTCATTTGTTTCGTGTTTGCTTACTACACATACTAATACTTTTATCGTTAAATAGTAAAGATACAAGTAGGTTTTCGTTACAATAAAAAATTGAAGTTTTATTGCTTTTATATTTCTAATTTATATCTGTTATTCTCATATTAATAATTTCCTATTAGAAAATTATTAGAAAATCAGTGCAGTTCTATTTCTTACAGTTAATATTGAAAAAATGATTTGTTATAGTAATGAATAACTAAATATTAATACTAAAATGGTAATTGTCTCTAATATGAATTGTGGGCGTTAGAGAGAAAGAGAGGCTTTTATAGCGTTCATAAGTAAAACGTTAGAAATAGCATTTTTCAAGTTTTAAAGAAATTAAATTAGATCAGAAACATTTTAAATTTTATATATTAAGGATTATAAAATAATATATAAAATAATTTTTATTTTTAATTTAGATTATTTAACTTTTTTGTTCTTTTAGTTATTTAATTAATTTATAATATTTAAAATAAATTATAATTTTGAAACTATAAAATTATAATTATTAAATATTTAAATAAATAAATTTTATCAATTAATTAGAACAATTATAAAAATTTGAGTAAATTCATTATTAATAAGTATTGATTACAATTTTTCAATATTCTTTATTAATTACTATAATTATTAGTAACATAAATAAATATTATTTACTTGACATTAAAAGTGGTTCAAATTGTTTATTTTACAATGCCATAGAAATTTATTTTGTACGAAGGGCAATTATAATTAATTAAGTAATATAATTATTTTTTAAAAGCATAGATTATTGATTAAGATCCTTAAAATCATAATATTAAATTAGATAAATACTGAAAGAGCATAAACTATTTGTGAGTTATCTTTGTAATAAATATTAGATTAAAACTGTCGAATCAGTATAAGTAAATTGTTTGCGAATAAGGTAATGTTATAAATATTTATAGTGATCTAATAAGAATTTTAAATATAATATGACAATTATTTCTCAGTTAGAATGTTAAAAGTTAAAAGTAAGGATGTTCTCTTAAAAGAAATAATTTTATCGCTAAAAAGATAATCAAGTTCTGCAAATTTAATTCATAAGCCTAATAAATACGATAAATACCAATAGTTCGGTAACATTTTATTACTAGAAATTAAATAGATATTAGAAATTTGCTTTAAAGAAGTTTCAATTCCAGTCATTGGTTTATTCTATTTTTCAATTTTGTTCTTAACTTATTCTTGTTTTTATTTCACTGATTTATGCTTGTACAATATAGTGATGTAATAATTTAATTGAAATGGATGCTAGGTTGAGTTTATAATAGAATATATAAATTTGGGAAGTGTATAAGCGTGTTTTTAAATGGCTAAAATACAACACAAGCTCGCGAATAAAAAGGCTTTCTCTTAATAATTAATAAATTTTCTTATAATTTTTATCGTTTAAGTACATAAAAAAAGATATACATGTTTAGTTTTTTTGTAATTCATATTTATTAGTCATTTGATCGTTTCAAATGATGTAATATATATTCCAAAATAAATGTACTCTAAATACACTATAAATAGAAACATTTGATAGATTCTGTATAATCGATAAAACTCCAATTTTGGAACTCTTTTGCGTGTTATATTTACCGTCGATTTCTCCATCTTCATGCATTTCAGTTACCTTATTACTCATTACTCTTATTTGATATTCACTTTTGAAAAATAACATATCATTATATATATATATATATATATATTTATATATATATATATATATTTATATATATATGTATATATCCTGATGAACTAAAGATAAATTAAATTTATATATGTTATTCAAAACAATATTTTTTTCCTTTTTTGGATATATCGGTTGTAAAAAATAATAAATTCTTATATTCATACATTCGTACTTACACTTGAGTAAGGGTTAAGAATTAATTAATTTTTGTTAGAAAAGTGTTCATATTAATCAATAAACTAAGTTATTATCTTACGTGCATTCAATGTTCTATACTTGGCTATAGTTTTAATTCATTCTTTCAGCATTCGAAAGCAAGTTTCAAATATTAAGCTTGTGTTACACAATAACTTATTGAATCTACAGGTACATACTTTCACCGTATCATGAACTTAAATGACAGTACCTATTTGATATTGTTTTTGACATGTATTTAGCATTTAAATTTTTGTTGTCATAATAATAATTTATATTCAGTTTAATAATGAAAGTTTCAACTAGAAAGAATTTCAACGATTATGTAAATGAAGCTTCAGATATTAAAATATGAAATCTAATGTTTGAATTATTAGTATTTAAGTACGGATGAGCATTT